CAGTGTGGAGGCCACACACACTGAGTGAACGCGCCCAGTGTGGAGGCCACACACACTGAGTGAACGCACCCAGTGTGGAGGCCACACACACTGAGTGAACGCACCCAGTGTGGAGGCCACACACACTGAGTGAACGCGCCCAGTGTGGAGGCCACACACACACTGAGTGAACGCGCCCAGTGTGGAGGCCACACACACTGAGTGAACGCGCCCAGTGTGGAGGCCACACACACTGAGTGAACGCGCCCAGTGTGGAGGCCACACACACTGAGTGAACGCACCCAGTGTGGAGGCCACACACTGAGTGAACGCGCCCAGTGTGGAGGCCACACACACTGAATGAACGCACCCAGTGTGGAGGCCACACACACTGAGTGAACGCGCCCAGTGTGGAGGCCACACACACTGAGTGAACGCGCCCAGTGTGGAGGCCACACACACTGAGTGAACGCACCCAGTGTGGAGACCACACACAGAGTGAACGCGCCCAGTGTGGAGGCCACATACACTGAGTGAACGCACCCAACGTGGAGGCCACACACACTGAGTGAACGCACCCAGTGTGGAGGCCACACACACTGAGTGAACGCACCCAGTGTGGAGGCCACATACACTGAGTGAACGCGCCCAGTGTGGAGGCCACACACACTGAGTGAACGCACCCAGTGTGGAGGCCACACACACTGAGTGAACGCAGTGTAGAGGCCACACACACTGAGTGAACGCACCCAGTGTGGAGGCCACACACACTGAGTGAACGCGCCCAGTGTGGATGCCACACACACTGAGTGAACGCACCCAGTGTGGAGGCCACACACACTGAGTGAACGCGCCCAGTGTGGATGCCACACACACTGAGTGAACGCACCCAGTGTGGATGCCACACACACTGAGTGAACGCACCCAGTGTGGATGCCACACACACTGAGTGAACGCGCCCACTGGCTCAGTGAAAAACAGGCGAGTGTCTGCAGGTATCATAAGTACCGCCATTAGATACGGAGACACGAAACACCTGAGCATCGCTGACCGTTGAGAGCTTCACCCGACAGATGGCGCTAGTCGCCTCCGACCTTAATATCACTATAATTCCTCGTACCTTATCTATTAATTGGTATACCATCAAACTATTTATATATTATGTAAGGCCTCCGGCCGGCCGTATTTTAGGGCCAAAACACTAGATAAGAAGCAGGATCGGTGCCTCTTAGCGAGGTCGAGAATCAAGTCTTGAGTTTTTTTTATAGAAACAAGTGAGCATCAAAGAGAAGCAGTGTTGCCAAAGTTATCTGTGTATTGTGTTGCCATCAACCTCTCTCTTATTCCCTTATTCGTTTCCTTAGTTACTCTTAGTTGCTTTAATGTGATCCTTACAGATGCTCTTCAGCTCTGTGGTAGATATGTCTTGAGTCACGGGAGAATTGAGCGGATATAACAGCAGTCGAGATGCAATCTACACTGAACACGGTGATAAACGTGGCACCATGGCAAGGATGAAGTATTCCACGATAAAACAAACCAACTCATTGGGTGTAAAATAATAAAAATAATAATAATAATAATAATTATAATAATGTTATAATCATAATATTATTATAATATTATTATCATTATTGTTATTATTAAAAAAAATCCTGGAAGGCCTAACCCCCCCCCTCTCAGAGCTCAAGACAAAGGAAGTGTAATTTAGGTACAAAGGGATCAGAATATACCGATTATAAGGTCCTAGGGGTACCCCAACCATCAGCAGGTCTGTAGGACGACACACACATACACTTCTGGAAGACAGAAGAGTAAGGGGAGACATGATCACGACCTACAAAATATCTCAGAGGAATTGACAGGGTAGATAAAGATAAACTGTTTAACACGGGGACACAGGTGGAAACTGAGCACCCAAATGAGCCGCAGGGGCGTTAGAAAGAACTTTATCAGTTTCAGAGTAATTAACAAATGGAATGCATTAAGTAGTAATGTGGTGGAGGCTGACTCCATACACAGTTTAAAATGTAGATATGATAGAGCCCAGTAGGCTTAAGAATCTGTACACCAGTTGATTGACGGTTGAGAGGCGGGAACAAAGAGCCAAGGCTCAACCCCCGCAAGCACAACTAGGTTAGTATACACACACACACACACATATTAAAGGATGACAGCAAGAGGCTCGTGGATGACCTGAACAGACTGAAGGAATGGTCCAACAAATGGCTACTAGACTTTAACTCGAGCAAGTGCAAAGTGATGAAGACAGGCGGAGGGAGCAGGAGGCCAAACACAATTAAGGTACCAGCTTGGAGAGTAAATCCTTCAGGAGTCAGGACGAGAGAAAGATCTCGAGGGTTGATATCACACTATATCACAAAACAATACACACTTGATAAGTTTAGATTCAGAAACGAACCGGGAATATTATTTTGAGAAAAATGTTGTTGATTAACAGAACAAACACTAGCATTACTGAATTGTTTCAAGCTAAGGCTAGATATATACGTGCTAGATTGTGTGTATATATGAACTGAAGAACTTCTTCAGATTCATTTATTCTCGTATGTGTGATAATAGAATAGGGAAATAAGCAGGATAGACAAATAGAGAGGATAAACAAATAGGCAGAATAGACAAATATCCAGGATAGACAAATTGGCAGGATAGACAAATAGACAGGATAGACATATATGCAGGAAAGACAAATAGGCAAGAATTCTGGCACGTTGGATAGGCAAGCATGACTGAGTTAGATAAGCAGACTCATTAACCGTATGCGATGCCTTGCTCATTATGTGTGGCTGATTTGCTAACGTGGTTGATGACAAGTAGTTGACTAAGTGGATGACTTGCTGACTGATAAGCTTAGCGAGTTGCTCGCTTGAGTGACTGACTTAATAACCTGATGGTTGACTTGCTAAGAGACTGGCTGACTACCAGGTCTGTAAGAGTTACAGACCAGTTGGCTGACTACCAGGTCTGTAAGAGTTACAGACCAGTTGGCTGACTACCAGGTCTGTAAGAGTTACAGACCAGTTGGCTGACTACCAGGTCTGTAAGAGTTACAGACCAGTTGGCTGACTACCAGGTCTGTTAAGTTACAGACCAGTTGGCTGACTACCAGGTCTGTAAGAGTTACAGACCAGTTGGCTGACTACCAGGTCTGTTAAGTTACAGACCAGTTGGCTGACTACCAGGTCTGTTAAGTTACAGACCAGCTCGCTGACTATCAAGTCTGTCGACTCACTTAACTCCAGACTGACTATATTGCGTCCTTCAACGTTTAGAAGCAGGTATCAGTCTCTTATCAGCGTCCGGTTCTTGTAGGCGCTCACACGCATCCCCGACTGATCCCAAACAGCCGCATGGATAGATACTGGACGATCTAATAGCCCCGGGGATAGATGCGGACGGGACGTGTGCGTGTGCTTCGGAGCTGAGTTACGAGAGGCCGGCGATAAAGGCGATATTATGAGAACTGTTGAGCTCGGGCAGTCATGCTTGTCTTGGAGGGAGAGTGGTGAAGGGGGTGGGAATGATGGGATGGGGGGGAGATGGGGGAGGGTGAGCAATGTGATGGGAAGAGACAAGAATTACTAGCGGGAAGAGGTAAGAAACGTAAGGGAAGAAGAGGGATTTTAGGCAAGAGAGTGGGGAGGGAAGACATGGAAGTGCAAACAGGAGGTAAAGGTAAGAGAGAGGGGAGGGAGGGAGGTTAAAGGAAAGTTAACAGGGTGAGGAAACATGGGAGAAGAGGTGAGGTAAGTGTAGGGTAAGAGGAAGGGTAACAGCGAGGGGTGAAGCGAGGGTAACAGAGATAGGAGATGTGGGGTAAGAGGGAGAGAAGTAGAGGGTAAGAGGCCTTAGGGAACTGAACTTTAAATTTTAGTTTCCCATTGTAAGTAATATAAAAGAAAACTTAAAATTACGCAAACTTTTCCGCCGTCTTTTATACCAATTGCAAATTCGAAAATCGAAGAAACAAACAAACTATACTAAAAAATATTAATACAAAAATAATATATGAAATTTTCTTTATAAAATGAATGCATTTTACAATTAGCCAATTAACTAAAAGCAAAAAATCACAGAACCAAAAATATGTTTCTTTCGGTTATCAGTTCATTCACCGGTGATACAATGCTGTGATTCGGGGAAATTGACCTGACTACACAGGTATTCCAGGTAGGTCATACCTGACGCTCACAAACCTCGCTACACCTGTGATTAATTATTTTACACCTGAATTATAATTACGCTCTCCCACCTGTAACAGTGAAAGTTTAAGTAATATTAAGGTTGGAAGTGACCTTCAAGTGTGTGTGAATTCATCTATTTGTGCCTACAGGATCGAGCTACTAGCTCTTGGATCCTGTAGCCCTTTCAACCATCAGTTGTCTAGAGTACTGACTTACGACCAATTCACGTTAATAAACATATACGACAACGCAAAGTAATTTTTATTTTAATATAGATAGGATACATATTTACTGTGCACTTTCGTTATCTGTAAATATCAATCACATTTTGATTTGTGATATCTGGCGACTGGAAGTATGATAACATCACGCAAGATGTCTGCGCCCACCACAGCAGAGCCTGGCCCGGAGGCCCGGATGTAGGCATGTGTCCTAACTGGCTAAATTTCGTAACGGGTCGCCAATCGAAGCATGATCTCATGTCACGTGACTCCTTAAGGGGGGGATGCTGTTAGGTTATTGGTCCCTGAGGCCTCAGTGCGACTCGAGAGCCGGACAAGAGCGGACGGCCGGCTGTGAGGTGTTCCATAATTAACGGAGATTCATAATGCACTGCAGTGAGCGCAGACCTTAAGAGAAGAGTCAAGAGAACTCCTGGGCAGCGGCAGTAACTTCAAGGGAAGAACTTTCGCATTTTCCAAGAACTCGTGACGAGCCAAGAGGCGGAGGATTACTGTTTGATGAATCTGGACGATAACTTGAAGATTGCCAATAGTGTGAGACCAATGGAAAGGTGAGGAATTGTTCTTTTACTAGCAAGTCTGATGCTATCAACATGACTAGCAAGTCTGAGGCTCTCAACATGACTAGCAAGTCTGATGCTCTCAACATTACTAGCAAGTCTGAGGCTCTCAACATCACTAGCAAGTCTGAGGCTCTCAACACCACTAGCAAGTCTGATACTCTTAACACCGAATAAACAGTCCTGCTCAAGAAGTGAAGTTTTGCTACTCCAGTGACACGAGTCGTAGCCCATAAACAGAAGCATTATTACTCCAGTGAAAGGAGAAGCATGGAGGTGACCGCCTGACAGTGTAGTTGAGTCACAATTTCCCTACAGTGACAGGAGAAAGTTTTCCGACAAAAAACATTGAATTCCAATGTTTGCCACAAGCTGTTGAGGGCCTCAAAATTTGGTATAATATTTGCAGAGACCTTATACCCGGTCGCCTAGCTTCCGGACCCTTGAGAAGCTCAGAGAGAGGCGAAGACAGAAGACTGCAGAGTCAAGAAGCGTTCACAGAATTGTGAGTGCCAGGAAGAGCCTGCACGAGAGCCAACAATGAATGACGCGACGAGAATTTGGCGCCACGGAGCAAGCGTCGTTCGTGAGCAAGACGGGAGTCATGGCCACATTAATTAATGGCTTAGTTATGTTAGGTTAGATCAAATTTCTCTTAGTATTGACCTAAACTAAAAAAATATATATATTTTATTGAATTTATATATAATGCAATAGAGAGCTCTCAAGTTCTGGGTCTTGAATTCTTTCCGTAAGAATTTCTTTTAGAAAATAAAATATTTGAGGAAAATTCGGTTTGTTTGGCTATCTTGGCCTATTACGAACAATATTATATCTGATTATATACTTGTGGCTATGTATGTATATGTCTGCTCATGAGTTTATATTTAAAATTTACATAGTCTATGTTATCATTGCCTAGATGATTTATTGAATTATTCATGATGATTACTATACTTTGTGAGCAGCGCATTAGAGTAACTTAACTCCAGATAAATTCAGGAATTATAATAGCCTATTGAAACTGGTCTAAGTGACTATAACTTGCATTTAGTAAGGCTTTCTTCGTATTATTATTGTTTACTGTTTAATTATTCAGTAAATGTGTTTATATTAGCAGTTATTTCCTTATCCCTCTCTGTCTTAAATTAATATTTGACCAAGAGGTGACTCTACACATTAATGCATGGTGGGAATGTTGTAGGAGGAGGCTATTAACTCGATGCAGCTTACATCTTAAGTATTGGACTCTTAACTCCGGGGGAGTGTGTTACGATCGGTCAATAGGCCAGTTTCCGGAGAGCAGTTAGGAACCTCAGTGCCATGCTGACGTGATAGTTAGAGAGTACAGTGATTTACTAATAAGTAATTAGGGGGTTCATAGCCTCCCCTTGTTCCGGTGGCTACTCATTCAAGTTCCGTTTTGAGTACAGGTGTTAATTATGCAAGTTTACTGGGTGGGGTAACCAGTAGACCAAGAGACTGTGTGTATGTTGGTGTCCTGCTGCGCATGTTGGCGTCCTGCTGCGCATGTTGGCGTCCTGCTGCGCATGTTGGTGTCCTGCTGCGCATGTTGGCGTCCTGCTGCGCATGTTGGCGTCCTGCTGCGCATGTTGGCGTCCTGCTGCGCATGTTGGCGTCCTGCTGCGCATGTTGGCGTCCTGCTGCGCATGTTGGCGTCCTGCTGCGCATGTTGGTGTCCTGCTGCGCATGTTGGTGTCCTGCTGCGCATGTTGACGTCCTGCTGCGCATGTTGCGCATGTTGGTGTCCTGCTGCGCATGTTGGCGTCCTGCTGCGCATGTTGGCGTCCTGCTGCGCATGTTGGCGTCCTGCTGCGCATGTTGGCGTCCTGCTGCGCATGTTGGCGTCTTGCTGCGCTTGTTGGCGTCCTGCTGCGCATGTTGGTGTCCTGCTGCGCATGTTGGCGTCCTACTGCGCATGTTGGCGTCTTGCTATTGGTGTCCTGCTGCGCATGTTGGCGTCTTGCTGCGCTTGTTGGCGTCCTGCTGCGCATGTTGGTGTCCTGCTGCGCATGTTGGCGTCCTGCTGCGCACTACGGCGGTGCTGAAGACCAGAGGATCTGTATCAAGAGGCAGGACAGCTGGCTAATAGATGTCATGGGAATCTCCACGCTACTCTTGGGGGTCCAACTGTGAGTTGGGGTCCTTCGAGTATGTACAGGGGTCCCACAGTCCCATTTCCTGGGCTGCAGAGGGTCGAGAACGTTAAAATACACAAACACGCACTCATTGCACTGGACAACCAGCGGCTAGAAAAGCGGGGTCCAAGAACTACAGCTCGATCCTGCAGACACAAATATGTGAGTACACACACACACACCAAACAGCTAACTTTATACTGTTAGGTGTGTGTGTGTACTCACCTAGTTGTGCTTACAGGGTCGAGAATCTGCCCTTAAGCTCCGACCTTCCACCATCAGTGGCTCAATGAGTTGGCTTCGACAACTCAGTTCGTTCCACTTATTTACGACTCTGAGTCTGAAACAGTTCTTTGTGACATCTCTGTGACGCATTTTTGTTGTCCTCTCGTTCTATTGTTTCTTAATGTGAACATTTCTTCTATATCTACTGTAATTACCTAAGTGTAGTTACAGGATGAGAGCTACGCTCGTGGTGTCCCGTCTTCCCAGCACTCTTTGTCATATAACAAAGAGTGCTGGGAAGACGGGACTGTGTCAATCTCCCTCAGCATCTGTCCTCCAGTGTAGTGAGGTTCAGTTCTACTCTTCACAGCTCAGTCCCCTTAGCTCAGGAACAAGCCTTGTTGCATATTCTTGGGAGCTTTTCAAGTTTCATTTTGTGTTTACTTAGGTTGGGGTTCCATGCGGGTGCAGCACACTCAATAACAGGTCTCACAAAGAATGTATACAGCGCTCGGAAGGGACCGTTGCCCAAGTCCCTGGAGGATAACCAGACGTCTGTCAGTATGGCGTGTTCAGCCATCATTTTATTCAGCTGATGTGTGTGTGTGCCTCTGGTGTTGGACCTCCAGTTGTGTCCGCTCCAAGCAACACCCCGCCCTTCCCCTCTAAACATCACCTCCTCCCCTTGTTTGCTCAACAATCACTACTTCAGTCTGTTTAACCGGCGTGTTTTACCTTCGCCACCCGGCACCGGAGATAGAGACCCCGAGCCCCAACCCCCCCAGTATGCTTAAAATTCACAGCAGTCAAATAAAAGGACCTAAAGTTTTGTGTTTAAATAACGCATTGAATTAATGAGAAAAGAATATTTTAACAGTGTACTGTCAGTCAGTCCCAGAGCGGCTCGCGGTGTGTGGGGGAGGGGTGGGGGTATGGGGGGGGTGTGGGGGGAGGGGGGGGGGGGGTGTGGGGCTGATGGATTGTTGGAGGGGCAGGTGGTTGTGGGGGGCCAGAACAATGCTATTCATGGTGTACTTAATAATATCGCACGTTCATTCGACATCTCATTTCAAACCTTCAATCAAATATCGATAAACGAATATATATATATATATATATATATATATATATATATATATATATATATATATATATATATATATATATATATATATATATATATAACAGGCCTGAACGGTCTCCAGGCATATATGCAACTGAAAACTTACACCCCATAAGTGACTCGAACCCATACTGCCAGGAGCACTCTGCATCTGGCGTACAGGACACCTTAATCACTCGACCAACGCGACCGGACAAAAGAGGATGGTAGCCGAGACTAATTCCCCGTCCTCCCGCCGGCACTCTGATGGTAATCTTGGGCATGGTTATTTATCAAATCACCTCATTCTTTGGGGCACACTAATATATATATATTAGTGTGCCCCAAAGCTAATATATATTAGCTGTACCTGGCCATGCGTTGCTGTGGCTCAGCAACGCATGTCCGTTCCTGATCCACAGCAACCTTCCTCTGTCTCCCAGTCCTCCCCACCTTTCCCCCTTCCCCCGTTCCCTCATCCTCCCAACCATTCCTCACTCCCCCGTCCCCTCGCCCTCCCCATCATTCCTCCCCTCTCCCGTCCCTTTGTCCTCCTCACCATCCCCCACTCCAGCGTCCCCTCGTCCTCCTAACCATTTCTCACTCCACCGACCCCCACACTCCCTTGTCTTCCTCACCATTCACTATTCCCCTGTCCCCTCGTCCCCACTATACCCAACTGCCCCATCCCCTCGTCCTAGCCACCATTACCCCCCTCCCCTGTCCCCTCGTCCTCCCCACCATCCCTCACTCCTGTCCCCTCGTCATCCCCACCATTCTCCAGTCCCTCGTCCGATGCATTCCCAAATGATATGATTTTCCCATCAGAAAATTGGGAACATCAAATGATCTGATATTCCCATAATTGAAATATAAGAAAAATAATTAAAAAAAACTAAATGAAAAAATGATAAAATAAAAAAATAAGCTATACTTATGAAATGAACGGTATAGTAAATAGCATAGCTCAATTACAATGCAATGTTACACAAAATAATTAAATAAAAATGAAAATAAATCGAAATCTATGAAAATTCAATTTATCAGTGCAATCGGAAACACTGAAATGGAATCGTAACATATTTAGTATAGCGTGTGTTGCTCTTACGTGCAGATGGCGCTGTTTCTTAAAAAAGAATGTTTTTACCTGTCACAGGTGTTGTCGGAAAATCCGACACCATTTAATAATCATACAGACATAATAGCTGTGTTGTATGAACAAGTTACCCATAGAAAACGTAACTTGTAGTGGAACATTCTGTCTATAGAAAACGGAATATCATCACCACATACTATTATAAATTCACCAGCTATTCTGCTGGGAATTATTCTTAAATACATTAGTCTTTGGACTTTACCATCATAAAAACATCTCATATAAATTAGCTTAATTATCAATACTAAAGTAGAGTAAATGTGACCCTTCTATCACTTTCTGTCATCTGGACAATGTAAGCCAGGCATCAGGAGTGAGGAAGGTGGGGCAGCCATTGTTTATAACTAAGACCACAGAGGCTCACGGGAGCAAATACGGCTCCTGTTAATTTTACTTGGACGTAGTGTTATGGAAACCAAAGGTGTACCATCTTCAACACGCTGTCAACAAATTCAAGTTAAGTGTTCTTCCGAAACCCATTTATCTTTCATTTGTGGCCATTAATGTCTGGATATAGGGTGATCCAGTTAGAGCACGAGGTAGCCTCATACTAAAGGTAATTAAGCCAGGTCTTCATTGTTCCATGTACAGTGTTTTCTCTGATATAGCTTGTCATATATTAGGAACCTGGCTTCACAGTTAGCGCCCTTTTGACAGGTCAAGACGAGGAAGCAAGGCTTTGTGCATCAGTTACCAGGGTGATGGAAGCTACCTCAAAGAGGGAAAATGTGGTGTCTACATCCTGGTTATACCTGGTGTACTAAGGCCTGCTGTACAATAAGATAAGGAACCTCTTCAATGTATGTAGTCTAATACTGTAGTTTGATTGGCTGCATATATATAAATTAAATTGATATAAACCCCCCCTAATGTGTAGAGGATCGATTTGTGAGATTATGACATTATTGCAGAAATACAGTCCACTTATCATTATACAAATTGCTATCGAAGTATATAAATTAACGTAAATATAAATTCATATAAATTAAATAAATATAAATCTCACAGGTCGGTTCCCACAGGTGTGGCATCTATACGTATACTCACGAAAGGTATGGTAAACAACACAGTTCAATTCGAATGCAATGTCATAAAATAATTCAATAAAAAAATTAAATAAATTGAAATCTATGAAAATAAAATTTATCAATGCAAAATTTCAAAGCTTTCGGTGAAGAACTTTCGGAGATTACAGCGTGTGTTCCTCTTACGTCCAACAGATGGCGCTGTTTTTTTTAAAAGCATGTTTTTTCCTGTCACAGGTGAGGCATGTATATACAGATATATAAAAAGACGCGCCTATTCGAATGCAACGTTATGTCAAAATTTCAAAGCAATCGGTAAAGAGGTTTCGAAGATTTACCTCACATGAAAAACACAGTTTTTTCAGAAAAAGCATGTTTTTTTTTTACCGTCACAGACGTCACATCTATATAGTATGTATATAAAAACCTGCTCGGAGGGGAATGGAACGTTGTGTGAAAATTTCAAAGCACTCGGTGAAGAACTTTCGGAGATTAGCGGTTATGCACAAACGAACATTTCCATTTTTATTTATATTGATAGATCTTCCATGGCCATCCGAGTAAACAAAATTAATTATCGGATGACACAGAAATACAAAATGTGAATTTGATTAACATGTGTGTTCAATATGCTGGCTTTTGTGAGGGTTGAGCTCTAGCTCCCGGTGCCGCTTGTTAACCTTCAAACCCACTCGAGTAGTCTTCCCTAACCAATCTTGACCCTCAACTCTAAAGAATATTGTGGAAAACTTTTAGACTTTACTGGCGCTGCACACTGGAGGTTTGGTTCCACATACGTGATGTTTTGACCCCTTAGAATACCAATGTATTGGCTTACCACGCCATCCACACGCAGAATATTATTCCTCCTCCAATCTGCTCTTCAAGCAATCTCAGATCTGATAGGAAAGAAATTACTGACTCCCAACGACCTGAAAGTACCAGTATAAAAAGCTATGATCTGTTCAGATCTGAAACCTATATCTATGGGCAGCACAAAACGTCCACTAGACTGTGCGACACAGTGGTTGCCAGGATCAGGTTGGGTTACCGTTACCTGTGGCAGGTGGCTGCAGGTGACGGGTCTCCCAATCCTGAGCACTCCAGTTGCAAACTCTGTGAGCAGGAACTACGGCACGATCTCCCGCACTACACCACCGAATGCCCAGTTATTAGACCTTTCAGACCAGTTGGCATGAGGCACCTGGAGCTTTGCAATTACTTTATTCATTCTCGTATTCTTGAAGATATCCTCACAGTATACCCAAAATTTGCCAGTGCAGGCTACTAAACACATGGCTCTGTATGACTAACCATCCTGCGAGATGGGGACTTTTATTACCACTGCTACCTTATTCAATCTTGTGTCGATGATATCCTCAAAATGCACCCAGAGTCTGCCAGTGCAGACTGCCCATCACATGCCTCTGTATGACTAACCATCCTGTGTGATGGGGATTTTATAGCATCACCTAGTTAGCTTTTTTGACACACTCTGTACTCCACTTCATATAGTCTAGGGTCGCTGCACTAATGCATATGTACCTCATATATTAATAAAAAAAAGCCCAACATGTAGCGAAAATTGGGGCGAGCTATCCAGAACATTTGGAGCGACTTATCCAGGAATCTAGTCTGTGATTTGTGTTGAGCACCGTGTCCTTATGGGTTCACAACTGAACCGCATTGTGGCGCATACGTTTTCAAAACAATTTTTCACCTCGGCCCTGAACAACTGTGAACATTTTCGGCAAGAGGGCCCTCCACCTCGGCCCTGAACAACTGTGAACATTTTGGGCAAGAGGGCCCTCCACCTCGGCCCTGAACAACTGTGAACATTTTGGGCAAGAGGGCCCTCCACCTCGGCCCTGAACAACTGTGAACATTTTCGGCAAGAGGGCCCTCCACCTCGGCCCTGAACAACTGTGAACGTTGGAGAACAAATACATAAAATTCTATTCATAAATATACGAAGGTTTACATTTATATAAATTCAAAAACTTTTAACTCTTAAAATAAATGCACATTTTTAATTCAATTAAAACAATTTTAAATGCATTATTCATTTATACCAGAGAGGCACATTTGGTGCCTTCGTCAGAGCTACCATTAGTATTCATGCTTGGGAACTGTAGCTTACCAGCATCGGTCCCATGATATAAGGGTTTCGCCAGTTTTATTATTATTGTGCTATACGATATATTGACATGGCAATCTTTCCTTAACACTAATCTGCATAAACCTGTCTCTGAAATTAACCTCAAGATGACATCCAAGTTAATGGTCTATAGTTGTGGACACGTCACACTAGTCTGGGGGTACACTAGCCTGGGGTACACTAGCCTGGGGTACACTAACCCGGGGTACACTAACCCGGGGTACACTAGCCTGGGGTACACTAACCCGGGGTACACTAACCCGGGGTACACTAGCCTGGGGTACACTAGCCTGGGGTACACTACCCTGGGGTACCTTATCCTACACCTGCTTGAATTCACCAAGTAAATGCATTATATGAACGTCCAATTTCAACATTTACACTAACAAAAATTTACGTTTTAACAATGAGTAAGTGTCCTCTCTTAGCAACTTTCCGTAATTGTATTCACTGATACACAAGAGGTACAATGACTTATTGTATTAAAGATTTTGTTAATTAAGCGGTACGCCCTAGTACAAGGCTTCCTGTTAATACTTTAGATGAATTAATTAAGTTAATTAATGCATCGTGAAAATATCAAATAGCAAGTTTATCCTTAATAAGGGGTTCAGGTATATATATATATATATATATATATATATATATATATATATATATATATATATATATATATATATATATCCCTGACCCTCCACGACGCATTAAGACAGGGTCTTCTAGGCAGAAAGTAATCCTGATTAATCCCCTTTAGTAACGCGATTAAGGAGAGGAATTTATAGAAAAGAAAACGGTAGAACTGACAGGGGACACCGGAGGAAAATGGGAATAACAAGAGGCGTAGATAAGAAAATATTAACACGAAAAGTGAGGAATTAAAAGAAGAGAATGATTAGGTAGAAAGTGCAATGAAAGAAGGATAACGAAGGGGGTAGAAGGCATGAAAGGGATAGGGGGGTTGGGAGAAAAGAATGGTAGGGAGAGGCGATGAAAGTAATTATCAAAAGAAGGCACCAAGCAGGGAATATTGCACTGGGGACGGCCACGAGGTACCAGATGGGCGGAAAACCTTCAAGAATCAAAACCCCTGACAGTTCATATCGCACAGAACCTCGAACCCGCCAGACAACAACGAAACACCATAACATTGTAACAACTATCTAACAAGTTGTAACAACTATCTAACAAGACGCAACAACTATCTAACAAGACGCAACAACCATCTAACAAGACGCAACAACCATCTAACAAGACGCAACAACCATCTAACAAGACGCAACAACCATCTAACAAGACGCAACAACCATCTAACAAGACGCAACAACTATCTAACAAGACGCAACAACCATCTAACAAGACGCAACAACTATCTAACAAGACGCAACAACCATCTAACAAGACGCAACAACCATCTAACAAGACGCAACAACCATCTAACAAGACGCAACAACCATCTAACAAGACGCAACAACCATCTAACAAGACGCAACAACCATCTAACAAGACGCAACAACGATCTAACAAGACGCAACAACTATCTAACAAGACGCAACAACCATCTAACAAGACGCAACAACCATCTAACAAGACGCAACAACCATCTAACAAGACGCAACAATCATCTAACAAGACGCAACAACCATCTAACAAGACGCAACAACCATCTAACAAGACGCAACAACGATCTAACAAGACGCAACAACGATCTAACAAGACGCAACAACTATCTAACAAGACGCAACAACCATCTAACAAGACGCAACAACCATCTAACAAGACGCAACAACTATCTAACAAGACGCAACAACCATCTAACAAGACGCAACAACCATCTAACAAGACGCAACAACCATCTAACAAGACGCAACAACTTTCTAACACGCCACAAAAACTTTCTAACAAGATATAACAACCTTGCAACAAGTAACAAGGTATCAATAGGGACCGTTACGTTACATTCAGTCAGTTAACTACAATACTCTCACATTATCGCCCTACATGTTGATCGCGCTGCATATGTTTTCATCAGTTATTAATTATTTTGAGTAGCTCTTACGTACTTCTTACGTATTTTGAGTAGCTCTTACGTACTTCTTACGTATTTTGAGTAGCTCTTACGTACTTCTTACGTATTTTTGAGTAGCTCTTACCAAGGACGACGACGTTTCCGTCCGTCCTGGACCATTCTCAAGTCAAGGAATCGACTTGAGAATGGTCCAGGACGGACCGAAACGTCGTCGTCCCTTCACCTTCTAGTGTGTGGTCTGGTCAACATACTTTAACCACGTTATTGTGACTCATCGCCTGCATAGGCAGCCTTTTTCATTGGGAGACTTTCTATTACTTTTTGAAGGCTTTTCCCACGGTGCGGAAGAAGTGTAATTTGGGTGTGGTTGATCACCCTCTCTATCAAGAATCATGCTTTTTAAATGTAGTCATAAGAACAAAGGCAACTGCAGAAGGCCTATTGGCCCATACGAGGCAGCTCCTATTTATAATCACCCAATCCCACTCATATACATGTCCAACCCATGCTTGAAACAATCGAGGGACCCCACCTCCACAATGTTACGCGGCAATTGGTTCCACAAATCAACAACCCTGTTACTGAACCAGTATTTACCCAAGTCTTTCCTAAATCTAAAATAAAATTCTATTCATAAATATACGAAGGTTTACATTTATATAAATTCAAAAACTTTTAACTCTTAAAATAAATGCACATTTTTAATTCAATTAAAACAATTTTAAATGCATTATTCATTTATACCAGAGAGGCACATTTGGTGCCTTCGTCAGAGCTACCATTAGTATTCATGCTTGGGAACTGTAGTTTACCAGCATCGGTCCCATGATATAAGGGTTTCGCCAGTTTTATTATTATTGTGCAATACGATATATTGACATGGCAATCTTTCCTTAACACTAATCTGCATAAACCTGTCTCTGAAATTAACCTCAAGATGACATCCAAGTTAATGGTCTATAGTTGTAGACACGTCACACTAGTCTGGGGGTACACTACCCTGGGGTACACTAGCCTGGGGTACACTAACCCGGGGTACACTAGCCTGGGGTACACTAACCCGGGGTACACTAACCCGGGGTACACTAGCCTGGGGTACACTAGCCCGGGGTACACTAGCCTGGGGTACACTAGCCTGGGGTACACTACCCTGGGGTACACTACCCTGGGGTACCTTATCCTACACCTGCTTGAATTCACCAAGTCAATGCATTATATGAACGTCCAATTTCAACATTTACACTAACAAAAATTTACGTTTTAACAATGAGTAAGTGTCCTCTCTTAGCAACTTTCCGGTAATTGTATTCACTGATACACAAGAGGTACAATGACTTATTGTATTAAAGATTTTGTTAATTAAGCGGTACGCCCTAGTACAAGGCTTCCTGTTAATACTTTAGATGAATTAATTAAGTTAATTAATGCATCGTGAAAATATCAAATAGCAAGTTTATCCTTAATAAGGGGTTCAGGTATATATATATATATATATATATATATATATATATATATATATATATATATATCCCTGACCCTCCACGACGCATTAAGACAGGGTCTTCTAGGCAGAAAGTAATCCTGATTAATCCCCTTTAGTAACGCGATTAAGGAGAGGAATTTATAGAAAAGAAAACGGTAGAACTGACAGGGGACACCGGAGGAAAATGGGAATAACAAGAGGCGTAGATAAGAAAATATTAACACGAAAAGTGAGGAATTAAAAGAAGAGAATGATTAGGTAGAAAGTGCAATGAAAGAAGGATAACGAAGGGGGTAGAAGGCATGAAAGGGATAGGGGGGTTGGGAGAAAAGAATGGTAGGGAGAGGCGATGAAAGTAATTATCAAAAGAAGGCACCAAGCAGGGAATATTGCACTGGGGACGGCCACGAGGTACAAGATGGGCGGAAAACCTTCAAGAATCAAAACCCCCTGACAGTTCATATCGCACAGAACCTCGAACCCGCCAGACAACAACGAAACACCATAACATTGTAACAACTATCTAACAAGTTGTAACAACTATCTAACAAGACGCAACAACCATCTAACAAGACGCAACAACTATCTAACAAGTTGTAACAACTATCTAACAAGACGCAACAACCATCTAACAAGACGCAACAACCATCTAACAAGACGCAACAACCATCTAACAAGACGCAACAACCATCTAACAAGACGCAACAACCATCTAACAAGACGCAACAACCATCTAACAAGACGCAACAACCATCTAACAAGACGCAACAACCATCTAACAAGACGCAACAACGATCTAACAAGATGCAACAACCATCTAACAAGACGCAACAACTATCTAACAAGACGCAACAACCATCTAACAAGACGCAACAACTATCTAACAAGACGCAACAACTATCTAACAAGACGCAACAACCATCTAACAAGACGCAACAACCATCTAACAAGACGCAACAACTATCTAACAAGACGCAACAACCATCTAACAAGACGCAACAACCATCTAACAAGACGCAACAACCATCTAACAAGACGCAACAACGATCTAACAAGATGCAACAACCATCTAACAAGACGCAACAACCATCTAACAAGACGCAACAACTATCTAACAAGACGCAACAACCATCTAACAAGACGCAACAACTATCTAACAAGACGCAACAACTATCTAACAAGACGCAACAACCATCTAACAAGACGCAACAACTATCTAACAAGACGCAACAACTATCTAACAAGACGCAACAACTTTCTAACACGCCACAAAAACTTTCTAACAAGATATAACAACCTTCCAACAAGTAACAAGGTATCAATAGGGACCGTTACGTTACATTCAGTCAGTTAACTACAATACTCTCACATTATCGCCCTACATGTTGATCGCGCTGCATATGTTTTCATCAGTTATTAATTATTTTGAGTAGCTCTTACGTACTTCTTACGTATTTTGAGTAGCTCTTACGTACTTCTTACGTATTTTGAGTAGCTCTTACGTACTTCTTACGTATTTTGAGTAGCTCTTACGTACTTCTTACGTATTTTGAGTAGCTCTTACGTACTTCTTACGTATTTTGAGTAGCTCTTACGTACTTCTTACGTATTTTTGAGTAGCTCTTACCAAGGAATCGACTTGAGAATGTCAAGGAATCGTCAAGGAAGTCAAGGAATCGACTTGAGAATGGTCCAGGACGGACCGAAACGTCGTCGTCCCTTCACCTTCTAGTGTGTGGTCTGGTCAACATACTTTAGCCACGTTATTGTGACTCATCGCCTGCATAGGCAGCCTTTTTCATTGGGAGACTTTCTATTACTTTTTGAAGGCTCTTCGCACGGTGCGGAAGAAGTGTAATTTGGGTGTGGTTGATCACCCTCTCTATCAAGAATCATGCTTTTTAAATGTAGTCATAAGAACAAAGGCAACTGCAGAAGGCCTATTGGCCCATACGAGGCAGCTCCTATTTATAACCACCCAATCCCACTCATATACATGTCCAACCCATGCTTGAAACAATCGAGGGACCCCACCTCCACAATGTTACGCGGCAATTGGTTCCACAAATCAACAACCCTGTTACTGAACCTGTATTTACCCAAGTCTTTCCTAAATCTAAAAACATAAATTAATAATTGAGTCGCAACATGGTTTTATAAATGGCCGTTCATGTTTAACAAATTTGTTATCTTTTTATTCTAGCATTGTTGAGGCAGTTGATAGTGGTAAGGATTGCGATGTTGTATACCTTGACTTTAGCAAAGCTTTTGATACAGTGCCACATGAAAGACTGATTAAAAAAATAGAGTCTCATGGTATTGGGGGTGCTATATTAAGCTGGATTAGGGCATGGCTATACCAAAGGAAACAGAGAGTTAGTATAAATGGAATCAAGTCAGAGTGGGAAAATGTTGTAAGTGGAGTGCCTCAAGGCTCTGTCCTGGGACCTCTGTTGTTTATAATATATATAAATGATTTAGATTCAGGTTTGAGTAGCAACATTTGCAAATTTGCCGATGATACGAAAATCGGTAGGGAAATTAATTCGGAGGAGGACTCACTATCACTTCAAGTTGATCTAGATAGGGTTTTGAAATGGTCAAAGGATTGGCAGATGCAGTTTAATGCTGATAAATGTAAAGTTCTGAGGTTAGGTAATGATGATAGAGTTACAAGATACGAGCTAGATGGTGTTGTGATTGCGAAGTCGGATTGCGAAAGGGATCTGGGAGTTATGATTAGTAAGAATTTAAAACAAAAGGATCAATGCATAAATGTTCGTAATAAGGCAAATCGGACACTTGGATTTATTAATCGCAGCTTTAGTAACAAGACACCTGGTGTGGTTCTCAAGCTATATCTTGCTCTAGTTAGGCCCCATTTAGATTATGCAGTTCAGTTTTGGTCGCCATATTATAGAATGGATATAAATTCACTTGAACGTGTCCAGCGTAGGATGACTAAGTTAATTCCCCAAATTAGAAATCTTTTGTATGAAGAAAGATTAACAAAGCTTAAGTTGCATTCACTGGAAAGGCGAAGAGTTAGGGGTGACATGATAGAGGTTTACAAGTGGATGAATGGACATAACCGGGGGGATATTAATAGGGTATTAAAAGTATCAACACAGGACAGAACACGAAACAATGGATATAAATTGGATAAGTTTAGATTTAGGAAAGACTTGGGTAAATACTGGTTCAGTAACAGGGTTGTTGATTTGTGGAACCAATTGCCGCGTAACATTGTGGAGGTGGGGTCCCTCGATTGTTTCAAGCACGGGTTGGACAAGTATATGAGTGGGATTGGGTGGTTATAGAATGGGAGCTGCCTCGTATGGGCCAATAGGCCTTCTGCAGTTACCTTTGTTCTTATGTTCTTATGTTCTTAAACTTATCCAATTTATACCCATTATTATACTAGTCTGTTTAGGACATTTCCTGCTCTTGCAGCCCAAGAGTTTCCATTGTTTTGACCAAGTGTGATGAATGAACGAGACGAGGCAATAAACAGGCAAGAGACAGGTGAGAAGAAAATCTTAGTGGATGAAAAAGCAAGACAAAAGGTATGAAGTTAAGGTGTAATAAAGAGGATAGTAATAGGAATAAGAACATAAGAACAAAAGTAACTGCAGAAGGCCTATTGGTCCATTCGAGGTAGCTCCTATTTATACCTATTTATATTTATAATTACACCTTTTTTTTATTTTCTTCCCCTTTTCTCTTACGATCACTTGGTTATTCCTATTACTATCCCCTTCTTATTCCTATTACCCTTCTTATTGGGTGGGTATAAATAGGAGCTGCCTCGTATGGGCCAATAGACCTTCTGCAGTTACCTTTGTTCTTATGTTCTTATTCCTATTAATTTATGTAAGTTCTTCATGGAACTTACACACCTTACTGAACGCATGCCTATCTGCAAGGGTGCCAATTTTCAATGAAATCGGTCGACGTCAACCTCAGCCACAGGCGGCTGAACTTTGACCCTTATTGTCTACAGGTAAGTAATTACCAAATACATGGTCTTATAACTGTTTCATTTATTATTCAATTTACATGAAACTTGCACATTATATGTAGAGTTTATGCCTTTAAAAACTGCTTTGGCACTTTTGTCACAAGTCCATTTATTGATTTTATAAACATTTTGTTGCGTAATTTTTTTAGGGAAACTTTGAAATTCTGTATTATTGCACTAAATACATTTGGGATAGAAATCTCGAAAGTTTGAACAAAATTGAACAAATTTGATTTTACCGCATTATGCCCCCTTAAACTTCACATCACTGATAGATAGAAGAGTTTACTTATCACTGAATAGATAGAAAAGAAGACATGATTGTCGTAAACAAAAATTGTGAGGGGGAATTGACACGACAATTGACACACGGGAATTGACACAGCAAAGAAGGATAAAAAATTTCGAATGTTTTACTCGAAAAAAAAGGGACACGGCTCACATCACACACTGGGAACAATATAAGTACCCAATAGACTCCAAACACAGATTCACATACAAATATGTTCAAACCCAATAGCCCAAAGAACCTGTGTACAGACTGCTTGAAGAGGTGGGACCAAGGAGCTGAAACTCAACCCACAAAAGTAGAATTAAGGTGAGTACAAGCACACACCTGTCCACTCCAAGCGCTGTAAAAGGCCAGTCGTGTCAAGCTGTTGCATCTTTTATACACGCTGTTGCTCTGAGCTTTGACCAATGGGACGCGTTTCTCCTGCAAATGCGTTGCTTCCACCACCATCACCTCTACCACTACTACCACCGCCTCTACCACTACTACCACCGCCTCTACCACTGCTGCTACCGCTGCTGTTATAACTATTGTTGCTGCTACCACTGCTAATACTCATTCTCCCTAAGCACAAAAAAGTTTGCTCAAATAGGGAAGGAGGTACCAATAGCTACACGTCACCTTTCCCAAGCTGTGGAGTGTGGATACGTCTGACCCCAAGCTGAGGAGTGTGGATACGTCTGACCCCAAGCTGTGGCGTGTGGATACGTCTGACCCCAAGCCGAGGAGTTTGGATACGTCTGACCCCAAGCTGTGGCGTGTGGATACGTCTGACCCCAAGCTGAGGAGTGTGGATACGTCTGACCCCAAGCTGAGGAGTGTGGATACGTCTGACCCCAAGGTGAGGAGTGTGGATACGTCTGACCCCAAGCTGTGGAGTGTGGATACCTCTGACCCCAAGCTGAGGAGTGTGGATACGTCTGACCCCAAGCTGTGGCGTGTGGATACGTCTGACCCCAAGCTGAGGAGTGTGGATACGTCTGACCCCAAGCTGTGGAGTGTGGATACGTCTGACCCCAAGCTGTGGCGTGTGGATACGTCTGACCCCAAGCTGTGGCGTGTGGATACGTCTGACCCCAAGCTGTGGTGTGTGGATACGTCTGACCCCAAGCTGTGGTGTGTGGATACGTCTGACCCCAAGCTGAGGACAGTGGATACCACTGACCCCAAGCTGAGGGATCTGAATGTTTTTCCCCCAAGCTTTGAAATCTAGACATTTCTTTCTAGACAGAAATCTAGACAGATGGACTGTCTATAGTTCTAAATCCAAGCTCCTCGTTTTGGGGCTCAGTTATAAATTCAGTCAAAGGCATTTACACATTTTCAATTTCTTCTTTATTTTTTTTTACAATATCTAAATCTTTCATTGTATTAATAGTACACATTTTTTTAATTTGTTTCTAATAGAATATTATCTGCTATGTTCTTGCTATAAAGGTCTTGGTCTCAGTTTTCACCTCTTCTGCAAACGTTAATTTATTTACTTCTGATTATTAAGATATAAAGCAACTTATTATATCTAGTTATAATGCAATTTATTACATTATTAAAATAGTGTATAAAGCAACTGTATTTCTAACACTTTAGTGGACTTCAGGATCTCTCTTTTAGCTTGTTATCAAGGACTTTCTGTACCTGGGGTGTAGCTAAGATCAGTATTCCTGGGTGTAGCCAATATCAGTGTTCCTGGGTGTAGCTAAGATCAGTATTCCTGGGTTTAGCCAAGATCAGTGTTGCTGGGTGTAGCTAAGATCAGTATTCCTGGGTGTAGCCAAGATCAGTGTTGCTGGGTGTAGTCAAGATCAGTGTTGCTGGGTGTAGTCAAGATCAGTGTTGCTGGGTGTAGCCAAGATCAGTGTTGCTGGGTGTAGCCAAGATCAGTGTTGCTGGGTGTAGCCAAGATCAGTGTTGCTGGGGTGTAGCCAAGATCAGTGTTCCCTGGGGTGTAGCCAAGATCAGTGCTCCTGGGTGTAGCCAAGATCAGTGTTGCTGGGTGTATCCAAGATCAGTGTTGCTGGGTGTAGCCAAGATCAGTGTTGCTGGGTGTATCCAAGATCAGTGTTGCTGGGTGTAGCCAAGATCAGTGTTGCTGGGGTGTAGCCAAGATCAGTGTTCCCTGGGTGTAGCCAAGATTAGTGTTCCTGGGTGTAGCCAAGATTAGTGTTCCTGGGGTGTAGTCAAAATCAGTGTTCCTGGGGTGTAGCCAAGATTAGTGTTCCTGGGGAGTAGCCAAGATCAGTGCTCCTGGGTGTATTCAGATCTCTCTCTCTCTCTCTGCATGAGTTCTCTCTCTCTCTCTGCATGAGTTCTCTCTCTCTCTCGGCTGAGAATTGCTACACTTAAACTCAGGGAGCTGGTGGTTCTTGAAGTTATAACTCGAAGTGTTTATCAATTAAGTGATTTGCTCACTGCTGAACAAAGTTTGGTTTTCCTTTCTTCAACAATAAGCTTATTTTGATCCTCTGTTAATCAATCGTATCTGACCCCTCTCAGTTATTTAGCCGGATCTAATCCTACGTTCATCAATCGTATCTGACCCCTCTCCGTTCCCCAATCGCTTCTCACAGTGAGTCCTTACCAAGAATCTGTCAAGAGGATTATCTAGATGATCATGACTACCCGAGATGAATGGGTCACCCAGGAAACAATTCCCCTTCATCTTAGTCAAGTTTTATTCCCAATTCTGTTTGGTATTGCCTTTGATCTCACAAAAACTCCTGCAGCCTCTCCGGCTTTCTATAAAGCTCCTGACGATCACACAGGATTGCAAGTCTCCTTGCAATCAATCTGCAACATTGTGTATTGTTCTTTTCAGTGTCTTAGCTTCAGTCTGGATTACATTGTCGGTTAAAAGCTTGTGTTCTGTGCAACAACAGTACTTTTTTGGTAATAAAAAAGGTACCATTACTTTTTCCTCAGAATGTCTTTTATGAAAATATGTCTTTTTCCGATGGACTCAGATGGCTAAGGGAGCTGAACCTCACAACCCTGGAGAGCAGAAGAGTAAGGGGAGACATGATAACGACCTACAAAATTCTCAGTGTTGTCTTCACTAGAAGAATTATTGGGATAGATGCTGTCCTCTTCAAAAGGACTGTGTCTTCACATGATTGATGACATACACATGATTGGGGTATACATTGGAGTATACGTCACATGATTGGGGTATACACAGGAGCTTGGTTCACCCCGGGCAATGTAGACTGTAAGTGAAGAATGATACAGCTGTAATATTAGTAAGAAAGTGACGATGTGAATGTAATCTTTGGTACAGTACAGTAAGGCAATAGTAAAACTAGAATATACTCATTATTTGTATAACATTTTTTTTAATAATTCGAAAATATCATTCCAAAATTATTATTCATTTATAATAGATTTAGTTTACAAAGTTTCAAGTTCATTGTTCATTTAAACAAAGAAATCTATTATTAACTGAATATCACTGGAATATCATAGACTATTTTGTGTATGACAGTGACTACCCTGTGTCTGGCACTGTCTACCCTGTGTCTGGCACTGTCTACCCTGTGTCAGGCACTGTCTACCCTGTGTCAGGCACTGTCTACCCTGTGTCAGGCACTGACTACCCTGTGTCAGGCACTGTCTACCCTGTGTCAGGCACTGTCTACCCTGTGTCAGGCACTGTCTACCCTGTGTCTGGCACTGTCTACCCTGTGTCTGGCACTGTCTAACCTGTGTCTGGCACTGACAACCCTGTGTCAGGCACTGTCTACCCTGTGTCAGGCACTGTCTACCCTGTGTCAGGCACTGTCTACCCTGTGTCAGGCACTGACTACCCTGTGTCAGGCACTGACTACCCTGTGTCTGGCACTGTCTACCCTGTGTCTGGCACTGTCTACCCTGTGTCAGGCACTGTCTACCCTGTGTCAGGCACTGTCTACCCTGTGTCAGGCACTGTCTACCCTGTGTCAGGCACTGACTACCCTGTGTCAGGCACTGACTACCCTGTGTCTGGCACTGTCTACCCTGTGTCTGGCACTGTCTACCCTGTGTCAGGCACTGTCTACCCTGTGTCAGGCACTGTCTACCCTGTGTCAGGCACTGTCTACCCTGTGTCTGGCACTGACTACCCTGTGTCAGGCACTGTCTACCCTGTGTCAGGCACTGTCTACCCTGTGTCAGGCACTGTCTACTCTGTGTCAGGCACTGACTACCCTGTGTCAGGCACTGACTAACCTGTGTCAGGCACTGTCTACCCTGTGTCAGGCACTGTCTACCCTGTGTCAGGCACTGTCTACCCTGTGTCAGGCACTGACTACCCTGTGTCAGGCACTGTCTACCCAGTGTCTGGCACTGTCTACCCTGTGTCAGGCACTGACTACCCTGTGTCAGGCACTGTCTACCCTGTGTCAGGCACTGTCTACCCTGTGTCAGGCACTGTCTACCCTGTGTCAGGCACTGACTACCCTGTGTCAGGCACTGTCTACCCAGTGTCAGGCACTGTCTACCCAGTGTCTGGCACTGTCTACCCTGTGTCAGACACTGACAACCCTGTGTCAGGCACTGTCTACCCTGTGTCAGGCACTGACTACCCTGTGTCAGGCACTGTCTACCCTGTGTCAGGCACTGTCTACCCTGTGTCAGGCACTGTCTACCCTGTGTCAGGCACTGTCTACCCTGTGTCAGGCACTGACTACCCTGTGTCAGGCACTGTCTACCCTGTGTCAGGCACTGAAGTAACTGGAAATATTAAATGTAATGTGAATTTTACCAACAATAATACATTCAGCACAAAATTTCAGTGGCACCCATCCCATGTTATGATTCGCAAGCAATAACGATTGTATATTGATTGGCCAATGAGGCTTGCAAGAAGGAAAGCACAGTCTAACTTTGGAATATCTAATGCAATTACTAAAAACATAAAATAAATTAAGAGATTACTTCAGATTCAAAACAAATAAGTACCCAAAGACCTGAAAGTTGCAGTATTAAGAGCCAAGACCACTTTTGTAATAATAGGTATTTGTATGGTCAGCACAGTAACGTGATGAAGTCATTGCCGTAATTCAATGTTGCATTAGTAAATTAAAATATGTATAATAGATGATGTAGAAGATTTTAACCTCATGAATGTGTTTAAATTGCAGATTTTAAACGTTTCGTCCTATATATGATCCGGTTTGATAATAATATGAATATAAACAGCACCTCATTGCAATAAGACCTGACTGAATTACTCCCATGAAGGAAAATTGTTCATTAACTTTGTCAATAAAGATAATAATAAAGCCCTGTGTATGTAATTACCTAAGTGTAGTTACAGGATGAGAGCTATGCTCGTGGTGTCCCGTCTTCCCAGCACTCTTTGTCATATAACGCTTTGAAGCTACTGACGGTCTTGGCCTCCACCACCTTCTCACCTAACTTGTTCCAACCGTCTACCACTCTGTTTGCGAAAGTGAATTTTCTTATATTTCCTCGGCATCTGTGTTTAGCTAGTTTATATCTATGACCTCTTGTTCTTAAAGTTCCAGGTCTCAGGAAATCTTCCCTATCGATTTTATCAATGATTAAGTACTAGATGTGTACTAGGAGCAGTGTAGGAGCCAGAGGACTATTGTTTTACGGGCTTACCATAGACCATGCAACTTCCCTGGAAACACAAACCGAAACTGTCTCTATTTTCCGCTTGTTACAATTTGTAATAAAGTTGTTACATCTTGGCTTAACGTGTTTATGACGCATTAGAACGTTGTTACAACTTGCTATATTGGTTGTTATAACTGGTTAGGTGTTAAAATTTGTTCGAACGTTGTACCAACGTTGTAGTTACGGTGTGTGTTTGGCGGGTTGGGACTTTTTGTTCCAGGTAGCGAATCTTAAACAACAAACAACGGAGGATTACCCCCCCCCCCTGTTCCTCTGTCATGTTTACACCCCCGAGCCTGGACGTGTGGGGACACATAGTGTCCGCGTCCTTGTCTTGCGTGGCTGGACGCTCCTTCCTGGTTCCTGTTGTGGCAGTGTGGCAGTATTAAATCAACAAATCCACAAGGACCGTGCCGAGGGTTCGAACCTTCGTCACGGCCCTTGTGGATTTGTTCATTTGATGCATCACACTATTGTGATTTTTGTGTGTGTCGGTATTATTTTTTTTCACGAAAATAACACAGAGGAACAACTACAGCCTCCAAGGAATTGATACCCTCCAAGACTTAAAAGTTTTCAAAGATATAAGCAAGATTT